ACAAACCGAAGCATAGGAAGTTCCATGTGAACATGAGGAAGAACTTCTTCCCTCTGAGGGCGATGGAGGACTGGAACAGGCTGCCCTGGGAGGTTGTGGAGTCTCCTTCTCTGGAGATACTCCAGACACGCCTGGACAAGGTCCTGTGAAGCCTGCTGTACGTGACCCTGTTTTGGAAGGGGAGTTGGACTAGATGACTCACAGAGGTCCCTTGCAACCCCTAACATTCTGTGTGATTCTGTGTAATTTCCAAAGTTGTATGGATTATACCTAACTGCCAGGCTTTGACAGCCCCTCACACTTGCCTGCTGCACATCCATCACTCGCAAAGGGAGAGAGTACCAAGCTACTCAGCTCTACAAAAAATGCCTTTGAACATGCGTAATGAAAGAGGTACCAACTGCACTGACTTTATAAGTGAAAAAGTATAGTTGCCTACACAGAAAAGGGAAAGTGAGGAACAAAGTGAGAGAAAAATAATTTCTTTTACAAGTATTTGCCTAACTCACCCTAAATGGGAAATTGATTTCTATCTGCTGTACACAATTTCACGCTTATAAACACAGAAGTCTACCAGAGCAAGAACTGAAAACAGAGAATGACCCACCTGAGGCAGCTTCTTGTGAGCGCAGTTCATTCCTCCAATGAAAATCATGTTGGGCATCAGAGGTCTTGGATAATCTAACACAAAATCTGACCTCATGAGCCAAATAGAAGCCTTGCGTAAGAGATCTGGCAGAGTCACATCCCGCTGGAGGAACTCAGAAGCCAGTTTTGCATATGGTTGAAGGACAAAATCACAGAGGAAATAATTTGGGGTGTCAAAGACTAGATTCTTCACACGCTGGAGAAAGTTCATGCGGTCTGTAAGGTCTGTGAATCCCCTGGGGACGTAAGAAGGGGGATTGGGACATTGAGTGGCGTCAAAATCTAAACCACAGGGTATTCCTCGCAAAAAAAACACGGAAGGGACTGAGAGATGCTCAGCCAGGATGGGCCCGCAGGGTAGTGCAGGGTCTGTAAGGATGGCATCAAACTTGCTCTCCTCAAGATATCTGAGAAGCTCTGTGTTGGACAGTAAGTGTGCACAGTTCGACAATATCAAATCAGAGATTTTTTTTAAGCCTTGGTATCCTTTAACAAATCTTTCCACAAAAGATGCTTCTTCAAATAAATCTTGTAAAAATGCGTGGAGATTTCCATCCATCTCTTCCTGTGTAAAAGGAACTGGGTACATTTTCATAACAACATTCTTCATTGGTTTTATGTGTATATTTATCTCTGGTGCAACGACGACTATTTCATGCCCTTTCTGCCTGAGACTGTCCAACACTTCCCGCATGGTGAACCAAGGACTCCCATCCACATATGTTACCAGCAGCTTTCCACCAGCAGCCAAACTGAGCACAGACAGGAGCAGACCCAGCGTCGCCGTGACCTGCGGATGAGCACTAAGCACCGGGGCCATTTCTGCAGCAACCTGGTGAGTGCTGCCCAGAAAGCAAACCACTGGCAGCACTGAAGCAATAGCACCAGCTCCGCACTTTTAAACACTCATCTCTGCTACAGCCTAAGTTGTGATCCTTGGAGATATTTGCTCTATGGTAAATGAATAATCATTCCTTTGATAAAAGGCTGCATAATAAGCATTCATTCCAGCCAAGTCCACAGGCCGGTGGCAAGTGACACACCCGGTAACGCCCATCTGCTGCTATCAGAGAAACAGTAAGGAGTGCCCCAAGAAGGAGGCAAGGGTGCTTCTGGGTGGGTCTCATAGCTTCCCTTTGGCTGAACCTTTTGCAAGTGCAGGAGGTGTGTCACATCCACATCAACACTCAGCCTAGCAGAGGCTAATCTCTTCCCTGGGCAAGAGCTGTCCCGTCTCTCCCTTTCTCCTTGAAGACTCATCTCTAGGATGCCTGTGGCGCCATAACAGATGTGGAAGAGTTGTTTAAGATGGTTTCTAGACTGCAAAGACTGAAGAAGACGGAAGCCTCATGCCAGGTTTTTCTGCAGGAAACATCACCCACACTAAGCGGTCCTTCCAGCATCTGAGACCTGCCTCAGGGAATGCAGGGCTGGCTTTGTGAGCTCAGAGGACAGAGAAGAGATATCTGAACACTCCTTGAGGGGGATTTTCCATGAAACAATTCAGGGCCTAATTCTGGCTTCTTTTCTGTCACTGGCAAATCTTGGCTGGTGTCCAGCAGCAGTGGAGTTGCATAAATGCTCAGGTGGAAAATTACAGTGTGCATGAGGATGTCTGTAAGACACCACAGCCACCTCCACCACCTGGAGATGGGTGGACTTGCCCACACAGGCTTGGTGGCCTCACCCCATGGGACAGGCATCTAAATAATATGACTGAACAAACAGCCAGGGCACTAAAAAGAAAAGCTCAGCTCTCCAGGCTCTACCACAGAGCAGCAGAGGAGGCTCTCCAGTAAGAACTGTGTGTATTGCTATCTTCTATGTCCAAGGCACCCAAAGCACATGCCACATCTGAAAGGTTAGCACAATTACCAAGGCTGCATCCGACCCCTGAGTGCTAGCCGTGCTGTGCTGGACGTATTGAAGCAGACCTCCTCCATGGCTCCATTCATTAGCACTGAGTTTTTGAGCCTGGGAAGAGCTTTTAAGGTTTTGTGGGCCATCCCATGGGAACTCCTTATAAGAGAAATCCAGCAGTTTTCCGTACTGTCCACAAATTCTGACAATCCCTTAGGCCAGCGCATACAATGTCCCATAATAGACCTTCACTCAAAGAGCCTAGAGTTTCTCTTCAACGGAGCATACTTTAAAAATGAAAAGATACAGCTGCCTACACAGAAAATGGAAAGTGAGGAACAAAGCGAGAGAAAAATAATTTCTTTCACAAGTATTTGCTTAACTCACCCTAAACAGAAACTCGATTCCTATCTGCAATACAAACTTCCACTCATGTAAACACGGAGGTCTGTAAGAGCAAGAATTAAAAAGAGAGAATGACCAACCTGAGGCAACTTCTTCTGAGCGCAGTTTACTCCTCCAATGATAATCATGTTGGGCATCAAAGGTCTTGGATTATCTAACACAAAATCTAACCTCACGAGCCAAATAGAAGCCTGGCGTAGGAGATCTGGCAGAGTCACATCCCGCTGAAGGAACTCAGAAGCCACTTTTGAATGTGGTCAAAAGAGAAAATCACAGAGAAAATAATTTGGGATGTCAAAGATTACGATCTTCACTCGCTGGAGAAAGTTCATGCTGTCTGCAAGTTCTGTCAATGCCCTGGGGACATAAGCAGGTGGATTGGGACATTGAGTGGCTTCAAAATTTAAACCATATGGTATTGGTCGTGAAAAAAAAACACAGAAGGGACTGAAAGTTGCTCAGCCAGTCTTTGCCCACAGGGTGTTACATGATCAGTAAAGACAGCATCAAACTTGCTCTCCTCAAGACATCCGAGAAGCTCTTTTTTGGACAGTAAGCGTGCACAGGTAGAGAGAGTACTGTCAGAGATGGTTTCCAGCCTCTGCTATACTTTGAGAAATCTTTCCAGAAAAAATCCTTCTTCAAATGTATCCCATGAAAAAGAGTTGATACTTCCATCCTCCTCTTTCTTTGTTAACAGTGTTGGATACATTTTCATAATAAAATTCACTGATGGTTTTATATGTTTTTTTATCTCAGATGCATCGATGACTATTTCATGCCCTTTCTGCCTGAGACTGTCCAACACTTCCTGCATGCTGAGCCAATGACTCCCATCCACCGGCACCATCAGCAGCTTCCCACCCGCAGCCCAACTGAGCATGGACAGGAGCAGAACGAGCATCGCTGTGCCCTGTGGCTGCGCAACAAGCACCGGGGCCATTTCTACAGAAACTTGGTGAGTGCTGCCCAGAAAGACTATTCCCAGCTCCACGTTTATAGTCAATCTGTGCTGTGCTTTCTCCGGGTGATCTTTAGACTTATTTGCGCTGTGGTAAATGTATAATCATGGATATGGCAAAGACAGAATAAAGGGTGTTAAAGTCCAGCCAATTTGACAGACAGTAGTCAGAGCAGCAGCCAGTCTTGGAAACACCTACTTCTTCCTATGGAAGGACACTGGCATTTAAGGAAATGAGGGTTCTTTCCACCAGTGGTCTGCTCAAAAGTGCTTATTAACGGATGCTTTATTTTCCAAACAAGAATTTTCAGTATAAGAAAATTCCTCCCCTCCTGCCATCTAAATTATTTTGTATTTGTAGAAGATTAGGAAAATAGTAATGCTTCTCACCATTGGAAATGGTCTAGTTTCATTATCAGTTTTATATTTTGACACTATAATGAAAATGGAAAATTGGCTATCAAAGTTAATTTCCCTGAAAAGCCTCTTTTTGGAAGGATGAAGGCAGGAAGGAGGAAGGAGAAGGCCGTGTTTTTTGCCAGATATATTTAAAACTGGAATAGCCACTCAGAAATACCATTCTGTATCAGTCTGGGAAGATCATGCTCCAGGGCAATGAAAGCAAACAACATTAAGGCATAGACAAGATTTGCAGACAGTCAGCCCTAATTATGAAAATTATTGCACAGAAGTAATTTTGACCATGCGTAATTTACTATGAAGATTGATAGTACACGCCAGAATTCTTTTAAGTACAATTAGTCAACCACTGCAGCTCTAGGTACACCTTTTGCAGGGAAACTTTTCAGAAGGCAGCGTAAGCTATTGCAGATGCTCAGGGCTGGCTAGCAGCTACATAAACCTCCAACAGTTTTGCAGAAAATTTTGTAAGGAATCCATGCAGTGAAAGCATAAGCCTAGACTGACAAAGCAACCAGAACATTACCTGTCAACTGACGTGTTATGACATTTTATTTCTAAATTCTGAGAGGATGATTCTATTAACTGAAAAGATTCATTGTTTTTACAAATCAGTTGTGACAGTAAAACAAATAGTTTCAGGTAAGTATACCGATCTGTCAAATACAAGCAGCAGACCTGCCTGGTAAGACAGGGATCACCCTCACTGGTGGCTATGTGCCTCGTTAGCGAGAGTGCAGTGATAAACTACTTCCACCTAGCCCAAAGAAAACAATTGTGTAAGCAAAAATGCTTAGATTCTACTAATGCTATAGAAAAGTAACTGCAAGAGTGGGAGAGAATTAAACCCAGTTTTTCACCTATTTTCTTTGTCATTATAGTATACCTTACTGCACGTATAAATCCCACAAACTCATGTATACAATTATATACACACAGAACACTTGCAAACAGCATTCTCCCTTCAAAACTTAATCTATTTTATCAAGGAAATTACTGACCTAAGATAATGGCTTTTTCTTTCCACAGCTTATACCTCCGATGAAGACTCTATTGGGCATCATTGGCATGGGATACTCAAAATCAAAATCAATTCTTTTAAGCCAAATGGATCCATGGCTTAAGAGCTCCTTCATTGTTACTGGTCTGTAAAGAACATCTGAGGCCAGTAGTTCAAACGGCAAATAGGCAAAATTGCAAAGAAAGGATTCTGATGATTTCAGAAATAAGTTTTCCATGTGCTGGATAAACGTCATGTGATCTGAGTTGCCTGTAAATGGTCTTGGGATGTAGGAAGGGGGGCGTCTGGACACAGGGTAGCCTGCAAATCAAAACTGCAGAGGAGTCCCCATAAAAAGAAAACAGATGGGATAGAGAGATGCAGAGCCAGTGTTTGTCCACATGGTACAACAGAATCCCTGAGAACAGCATCAAATTTACTCCCTTCAAGATATTGCATCAGATCCTTACTGTGCAGTAAACTGGTACAGGAGGAGACATAGAGACTGGAGATGACTTGAACTTTTTCATAAAGCACAGTAATTCTTTGAAGAAAAGGTCTTCTCTCAAAAAGATCGTTAGCAAATGAATGCATGCTTGCTCCCAGTTCTTCCCTAGTTAATGGCACTGGATATATTTTGAGGGTGTGTCAGATGCCTTCACATTCAAGTTTACCTCCGGTGCAACAATGACAATTTCGTGCTCTTTCTGGCAGAGGGCCACCAGCACTGAGTGCATGCTGAGCCAGTGACTCCCGTCCATCGGCACCACCATCAGCTTTCCACCATCAGCCAAGCAAATCAGAGACAGGAAAACCAAAACTCCCACAAAATCTAAGTAACTGTGTTTACTTACATGAGCCATCTTCTAGACATCCAAAGCCCGTTCATCTGCCCTGACATAATAGATTTTAAGCAGAACCACAGCCCCCTTCCAGATTCTTACATTCCCCCTTAACGGTCGGGCTTTCCCAGCAAAACCGGTCACCAGTAACCATTCAAAGCACGGATGATTCATTTAAGCAAAGTGATAAATCAACTTGGATTGGGCAGAACTGTGCTTGGTATCTGAGGCTCCCTTGGGATGGGTCCTTTCTGATTGATTCCCTGTGGCCATTGATGTTAGACTGAAAATAAAATCAGATTTCGCGAAAACAAAATCCCAAGTCTTTGAGTAGTGCTGGCGCTTGGAAATAACTGGGCTTGCTGAAAGCAGGTGTTCAGATACTTTCTTGCTTTCCTTCTTTTCTTTGTTTCTTTTTGAAAAGCATTTTACAGCTGTTCCGGATTGCTTGTCAAGTTTAAGTTAAAATCAAATTATAAAATTATGCCACTGTACTGATAACTGTAAATGTAACAAATGTAACATGTAGGGGATGCTATCACTTCAGGTGGTCAGAAACAAGTCTTGGTTCTTTGTGAATAATTGGGACGGTTGCAAGACAAGGGATTCCTGAATAATCCCTTTAGGCGCCTGGGCCTTGGGAGAACAGGTATGCAAACTACAGAGATAAGGAGGCTGCAGGATAATCTGAAGACCCCCGCTGAGAGACACCAAACAAACATGTGCGAGGGACATTACCATATATTAATGAATTCTCGGAAAAGCCATTACTATGATACACATTTCTTGGAAATGTAATGAATATGTATGTTAACATAGCATAAATACCTAGTAACTGTGTCTCTTCGGTGCACACGTTTAGAGGAGAGATCCCCCGTGTGCCCGGCACCGCAATAAAGAATACCTGCTTAATAGTCTGCCGACTATTGAGTCTTCAATTCCGGCTTTTCACGGCATCATTTCAGAACAGTATCTGTGCAAATCCTAAGGAAGAGGCTCTGTGATTTACCTACATACAGCTCAGCCCTGGGGCCAGGTACAATATCACGGACAAATTTCTTACAATAAGCAACACTGCAGCAGAGGCTTGCATCAGCAAGGGAAAACCACTGAATCCGTGCTGTCATGCATGACACTTCTTTGTTCTCATCCTGACCTATCTCTCTGTGCCTCTCTCTATCATTTTCTTCTTCCAGGAGCAATATGAAAGAAAAGCCACTCAGTTCCCTTTGTACCTAATTAAACACAGGAAAGCCTGGACAGAAGTGGCCAGTAACACTTCTCTTGTTTCAGGCCAGGAATTGATTTTAAATGGTAAGAGGTGGTGGCATTACTTCAGATGAAAAACTAAAAGCAAGATACCATGTCTGAGCAGTTAACAAGTACTTGTGATGATAAACTTTTCAATCCGCAGGATTATATTTTGCAGTTAGATGAAACTGTGTGATTCAGAAGCATAGTTGAAGAGAACAAGAAATCAGAACCGAAGAATCAGCACTTCTGCAATAAACATTGCTGCTGGACTATGATCTTTGGCCCCTGAGCAAGGTAAGAGTGAGAGTGAGCTTTGCCTTCAGAGGAGAGTCTGAATTTAAGCTGGAGCTGGCCCATGGCCGTGCCTGCAGGCAGGATTGGTCTCACTACTTTCCCAGAGGACCTGACTGGGTTTGTGTCTGAGAAGCCATTAAGCAGATCTGACGGACAGAACAGATGGGAAAAAGCACAACCCTGATAAAAGTGGCCATGTGGGGGGTTGTCAGCAATTTGAAAGAGACTTTTGTGAAAAAAGCAAGATCTGAACACCAGCAGCTCAATAGAAATAAAGGTTACTTTCAACGGGCAGCATTAGGTGAAGTACCGGGAGGAGCAAAGCAAAGCCTGAGGGCAGTTAAGGTTGGCTCCGGGGAAGATGTGCCAGGCTTGTAAAATGCAAATTTGTTTTCTTGTGAAGCTTCACTCATTCATGCAAAGGCCGAGGAATCTGAGGGAAGAGTAACAGTGGTGATGGCCAGGAGGAATCCATTCCCTAAGACTCAGGGAAGACTGGCAATTGAAAAAAGTTCAAGAGAAGAATAGAGGCGAGTCTCGTTATTTTCAAGTAATGTTCACAAGGGATAAAACTTTATCCTTGCTAGGAAATAATGTGATTTATTGCTGAAACAGCTGGATGACACTAACTAAAGATTAATCATCTGCTGAGAAGAGCTGTCTCCTCCTATATCTCCTTTTCTACTTAATCTCTGGCTTCACATGAGGTTGTTCTACCTACAGCACAAGCAAACAAGAATATACATCACATCCAGCAACAAACTAACATACATCATGAGTACCAACAAGCTGACATACATCACATGCATGCCTTTATCAAATGGTTTTTAGGCCACAGATGCCCATGCAACCACCCATCAACATTTCCATATCCAAACTAGATGTCTCCTAAAAGTGCAGTTGAGAATTCAGCTGTCTAGTTTTTGTGATGGAAGCTGTTGTTAGACCAAAAACTTCACCACAAAATATTCAACTCAAACACAAGACTGCTGTTACAGAAAAGAGCACATGATACTATTGCACATAATTCAGCAAGTTTTCAGTCTATCTGACTGGATAAGCAGCTAATGCTCTTGAAGAAATAGTCTACAGTCTCCTGTGTGAGGCAAAGAATTTTTGGAAGAGCTGTTATATTCACGTGCCTTTTTTGCATTAATTCCTGGGTGAGGTGGTCTTTGTGTACCTGACTTCATCTGGAACTAAACACAGCATAGTACGTGATCTGCTCACCGAACAAAATCCCCATGTTGGGGAGACCCAAGGAAAGGAGGTGGAGTCACATCATGTTCTCCTGGTCAATTGTACCACTCCGATTTTCATGTGGATTGGCTATACAGAAAGCATTAATCTAAATTACCTCTTTAGGTGAGAAATGTCCCTATCAAACACGCTCTTAGACCTCACCCAGATCATGCAGATTTACAACTGCCAGAACTTTTCCCTTGTTATACCTTTCCAAGCCAGTCACTGACCTGAGATAACACTTTCTTCTGTCCGCAGTTTATGCCTCCAATGAAAACCATATTGGGCATTACAGGCATGGGATACTCAAAGACAAAGTCAATTCTCTTCAGCCAAATGGATCCATGACTTAAAAGCTGTGTAACTGTCATCGGCTTTTGGAGAAAGTCTGAGGCCAGGCTTTCAAATGGTGAAAAGATGATACCGCAGGTGAAAGACTCTGAAATGCTGATCAGGAAGTTCTTCACTCTCTGAGGGAATGTCATATGATCTGTATTTTCTGAGAATATTCGTGGGACATAGGATGGTGGGTCCGGACTCCGAGCAGCATGAACATCTATGGCACACGGGACACTCCGCAAGAAGAAAACGGTAGGGATAGAAAAGTGCAAAGCAATTATCTGCCCACAGGGTGTCATAGGATCTGTAAAGATGGCATCAAATTTACTTTCTTCAATGTATTTCATCATCTCTTTGTTGTACAGTAAAGACCTGCAGGTAGCTTGAAACATGGCAGAAACCTCTCTGAAATTATGCCAGGTATTTATAAATCTCATCAGGAAAGACTCTTCGCTAAAAGAGATTGAAGTAAGTGAGAGCAAAAGCTCTTCCATCGCTTCTTTTTTGAAAGGTGCAGGATACGTTTTCAATTCATATAGCCCCGTGGAATCTATCAGCATTTTGCTCTCTGGTGCGATGACAACTACTTCATGACCTCTCTTGCTCAGCTCAGTCAGCGCTTGCTTCATACTCAGCCAGTGGCTGCCCTCCATCGGGACCACCAGCAGTTTCCCAGCAGCAGCAGGGCTCAGGCAGCACAAGAAGGGGAGCAGCACTGCCACCAGCATGTTGCAAGCTGGACGGACAGAAACCCATGCACAAGAGAGGCGAGGGGTGGTTTGCAGGCTTTTGTAGCTATGCTCCACCTATGCAAACACACCACTTGGCAGTGCTTTCTGACGTTACCACTGCCCTTCTGACTTGCCTCACATTTCAAGTGTTCACAAGTTTGCACGCAACAGCAGTCACGGTAGGTGATTAATGATTACAAACGGTTGAGACGAGGTTCGTACTTCAAAAGCAGGTTTGCGTGAGCATGAGAAAGGTGTGTTTCCCACCATACACTTCACTCTCCCAAGCTGAGAATGCAGCTCAGTGCTTCAGCCTTCTCCCCATACTAGGATCACAGCCTCACGACATTCTTACCAGCAGCAACCCAGCAACATTTACTGCCATTTACTGACAACATGCTCTAAGGTACCTGGGAATCCATGAAAGTAATGAATGCACAGAGTGGGTGGACAGAAAGACTGCTGGCGTTGCCCCACATGATAGTACTGGGTCTATGAAGATTGCACCAAAATTACTCTTTTCCATCTAGTGTTGGAGTTCTCTGTGCCACTGAGGCTGTCAGAGTAGTCACAGTGTGTAGTAATTTGGTGGGTTTTTATAAGTCCTTTCTTTCCTAATGAAGCTGAGGCAAATTGTACAATGAAACTTAACTTATAGTAAAGATAAATAAGAGAAATCAATGTTAAAGTTCCTGTTAAAGTTTTGGGGTTTCCTTTTTTTTTTTTTAATAACCAGAACAGTTGGTACAACAGAAAAATGAATTATGTTTTTCACTGATGCCAACATGCATTTTTTTTGAAGATAAGCAGCCAACAGAAAATCTTTCCCCATGTCTACATATAACTTCTATCTAACCTCTTGCCCCATTGGGTATAAAACTATGTTGCAAAA